CAATTAGGGGTTTTAGCAGGAGTAATAATTCTGAATAGTGATGTACTGGAGAGAAAACATCACTGTTGTAGCGGTGTAAAAAATTAGCCAGAGAAACAGAGATCCTGTGGGATCAGAAGAGACGTCACTGCTGTGGCAGTGTAGAAAATTAGCCAGAGAAACGGAGCTCCTATGGGAGCAGAGGAGACATCACTGCTGTGGTAGTGTACAAAATTAGTCAGAGAAACGGAGCTCCTGTGGGAGCAGAGGAGACATCAATGCTGTGTCAGTGTAGAAAATCAGCCAGAGAAATAGAGCTCCTGTGGGAACGGAGGCACGGTCACTGCTGTGGCAGTGTAGAAAATTAGCCAGAGAAACTGAGCTCCTGTGGGAGCGGAGGTGGCGTCAGTGCTGTGGCAGTGTAGAAAATTAGCCAGAGAAACAGAGCTCCTGCATGAGCAGAAGAGACGTCACTGCTGTGGCAGTGTAGAAAATTAGCCAGAGAAACGGAGCTCCTGTGGGAGCAGAGTAGACATCACTGCTGTGGCATTGTAGAAAATTAGCCAGAGAAATAGAGCTCCTGTGGGAGCAGAGTAGACAACACTGCTGTGGCAGTGTAGAAAATTAGCCAGAGAAACAGAGCTCCTGCGAGAGCAGAAGAGACGTCACAGAGCTCCTGCATGAGCAGACGAGACGTCACTGCTGTGGCAGTGTTGAAAATTAGCCAGAGAAACAGAGCTCCTGCATGAGCAGAGGAGACGTCACTGCTGTGCCAGTGTAGAAAATAAGCCAGAGAAACAGAGCTCCTATTGGAGGAGAGTAGACATCACAGCTGTGGCAGTGTAGAAAATTAGCCAGAGAAACAGAGCTCCTGTGGGAGCAGAGTAGAAATCACTGCTGTGGCAGTGTATAAAAATAAGCCAGAGAAACAGAGCTCCTGTGGGAGCAGAGTAGACATCACTGTTGTGGCAGTATAGAAAATAAGTCAGAGAAACGGAGCTCCTGTGGGAGCAGAGTTGACATCACTGCTGTGGCAGTGTAGAAAAATAAGCCAGAGAAAGAGAGCTCCTGTAGGAGCAGAGTAGACGTCACTGCTGTGGCAGTGAAGAAAATTAGCCAGAGAAACAGAGCTCCTGTGGGAGCAGAGGAGACATTACTGCTGTGGCAGTGGAGAAACGTACCTGTGCAAATTGAGCTGTGGTGTGAAGCCGGGAAGTAGATTGGGGCCTGGTGGTCCTATGATCATCTTCTTGAGCATAATCAAAGACGCGAAAAAGAGGGGAGATAAAATCTTTGCAGGATCATGCGCATCTTTATTAACGTTTGAAAATGGCTTAGGGAGCACCCTGGCAGTTAAGTCCGTAACGGGGCACGGTTCGCATGAAAAATCGCTAATGTGAATGCCATCATGGGACCCGGGTGTGCACTGGGGTACCGAACCCGAGACTACCTGGAGGAGGTGGTCTGAGTTCGGTTGCTCCCGAACCGTGCCGCGGTTCGCGTGTATGTGAAAGCAGCACTGACTCGGGTGCGCACTTGTTCAGGAAATAAAGTATCCTGCGCCTGCGTTTTAGCTTATTGTGATGTATTCAGTTAAATAAGTAGGGTATAATAGTGTTGAGGAATTACCATTACCTTGGATACGAGCGAGAGTGAGCCTGCAGAGTATTCGAGCATTGTGCGTGGATTCAGAGCAACACATTTGGAAATCCACTGTCTCCTTAAGAGTCCGTTTGCAAGCAGCAGAAGTCCACCTTATGTGACACACACACAATCAACCTGTATTGTTCACTCAACTGCACATAATAGCAGTAAATAAAAAAATAAAAAAATAAATAAATAAAAACACAATATTTACCCACGTTCTGCTTTCTATCATGTGCCGTGCACGTTTGCGATGATGTAAGATTCACGCAAATGCACGATAGAATCAAGTTGAATGTGAAACCAGACCCACGCTGCGGAGGGCATCGGGAACAAACGCGCTCGGACCGCAGCAAATGAGCCCAGTGTAAAAGCCCCCTTATTTTCTAATTTTATTTATTTATTTGTAATTTCTAAGGGTCACATTCCCTGCCGATTTGTTCGTTCTTCAGTAAACCAAATGGTGAAGCTGTGGGTTTGAATTAGTCTGAACTTTGTTTATTTACAGGTGACGTGATTGTGTTGAAAAATGAAATCGGTTACAGCTGCGTTTTTTGTTAAAAATCTTTAAGGAGGAGTCGATTCCCCTTAATGGACTCGATTTCAACCTTTGGAATCGACTCTCAATTCCTAACGCTTCGGAATCGAGGAATTGATTCTTTTTGGAATCGATTCTCAGGCCTGCTGTTTACATGTGAGTTTACGCCATAAGGAAGCATCGCATTTAAGGAACACAAATAATTTGTACAGTAACTATTTAAAACGTGTGATCCTCCGATCACAATTAGTATCCAGATAGCATAACTTGCTCGTATTTCAACAATTGAATCAATGCGAAGTTCAATCAGGGACACAAAAGTTGAGCTAAGCACTCACAGAGTTGACCCGGCAGATGTTGACGACTTGACGCTGGAGGAAAGTCCGTTCCTTTGCGTTAAGAGGGCAGCATGCCTTGTCCATTTTTCTATGGCAGGAATTATTGAATGCTCCGGTTTAAAGAAATACGCGGAAGTAGATTGCGGATGGGGCGACGACCCGTTTGTTTGGCCTGACGCCCACGATAGATTGCGGCAAAGATTCCTATTCTGAAGGACGAAAAATTCTTTATCGGAACGGGAAGAGCTAGATTCGGACATGGCCAAATGCTGCAAACTGCCAATGGATTGCTGATTGCTCTCCACTCGTGTCAATTATCTGAACGTGCTCCTCCCGAACTTAGTTAATAAAACTTCATTAAGCGTCTCTGAGATCCCATTTACACCTGGTGTTAAAATGCGATCTGTATCCAGATAAGTTATCCGGATAATAAAAAAGGCATGTTAATGCAAGGTGAAAATACGTTGTGATCGGATCTGCCTGACCATCTGGAGGTATCTGGCTCGCATTGTGTTCGGATCTTTAGGTGTAAACGCAATCTGGTTGTTGAAACCACATATGTATATTTTACTCCTCCCAAAAATGCTAAAAAATAAACGAGTGAGAGCATGTTATATAGGCTATATGACCCCAGGTAGCCAAACAGATGTGGGCCAATAAAGGCCCAGTTCCGGCAAGCCGGAAGAAATAACCTGGCCCAGTTCCGGTTGCCGGACTCTTGTGAAACGCGGCAATGAATGACGAGTACACTGGCCCGAGTCCGGGTGCCGAAACTGAGCCGGCACTGCCGGAATTGGGCCATAATCACGCCAGCATAAATTGTATAATCAACCGGTACTGGTGTAACGGAGGCAAGCTAGTAGTTGCTGTGCGAAACCTCACTCCCCTGATCTCAATAGGCGCTCTTGCGACAGACGTTAGAGGCTGCAGTCTTTAGCCTCCTCGCGGGGGCCAGTCGCGCGTAGGTGTAGAGCGCTGCCAGCCAATAGGAACGCAGGAAATTTCAGGGAGGCGGGCCAGAAAAAATACACAAAATCATAGGTTCGAGTCCCGTCTCGACCACAAATATCATATATTGTATCTAGATTAAAAAATGATTACAAATTCATGTCAAGTACGATTTACATATAATAAACTAAATTTTTGCTGAAAATAGAATAAAACTTTTAAGATTTGTTTTTGTGTAGGATGTACGAAATGTCCAATTATCTCAATAAACATTTAAATTATAATAGGGTATAGTTCTCTTTTAATATAGAAAATATTTGAATGTGAATAATTGTAAAGAACATTTTGATAATGTTTTATACCTTTATTTTATTTTTTTTTTAGAGATTTTCACATTATATTTCTTTAACTATGCACAAAAATCCAATATATATATATGAAAAACAACCAGTAAACACCAAATAGTAAGTTTATCATTTTATTTATAATACAATAATATACATATTATTATGTAAAACTGAAAAAGGTACTGTATTAAATACTTATAGATTAAAAAACAATAACATGAATAATAACAATAATAATAACAACATAAAGCTGGGGAAAAAACAAGATTTAAAAAAATAACAAATAATTATGTACAATGTTTAATTAACAGTTATTAAGTTTACACATCTGACCAAGATAAAATAATGCAAGTCAATAAAATTAACTTTAAAAACACACCAAATTGCAATGCAAACAAGGACTAAACTGTTTGATTTTAATGGACAATGGAAAGAAATTTAACAATTTAAAATTATAGATTAAATAACAGCAATAATAATATGGTTGTGGAGAAAATGAAAAAAAAAAACAAGAACATTTTTAAAAGTAAATAATTATGTACAGTGTTTAATAGTAACAATACTTAATATTTAGTGTTTTTTTCAAATCTGAGCAAGATAAAATAATGCTAGTCAATAAATGAACTTAAAAAAATACAATGCAATGCAATAAAATACAATACTTTTGTAATTTTAATGAACATCCATATATATATATATATATATATATATATATATATATATATATATATATATATATATATATATACAGTGGTGTGAATAAGTGTTTGCATGGTTTTACTTCAGTTAGCCTAATAGCTGGTTTGATTTGCATTGAAAGATGATCTTATGGTAAGTACTACCCCATGCCAATCTCTAGGTGTGGTGGAAGGTGTGTGATGATGTGGGGATATTTTAATTCCAAAGGCCAAGGGAACTTTATCAGGATGCATATTATCCTGGATCCATTAAATAACTGGCTTTTAAAAATAAAAATCAGCCTGACTCTATGGGAATTTAACATAGGGGTGCCCTGACTTATGCACCCTGTATTTTGAGGAAAAACATTTATTTATTTATGATACATTATTCATTCACAAAGAAAATTTGTGTCCTTAAAGGTTGGAGTTTTCCTCATTTTTCTAATTAAGGCATTAAGATCAATATCAAAAAGATTATTTTTATTCCTCTTTTTAGGCAACTTTAGCATGGGGGCAAACACTTATTCACACCACTGTATATATATATTAAAAGTGCATTAATATGTATAATATTGTATATGCGTGAATAACACATTTAATACACGTGTGTAATGCACGTCTTTACTTTTGTGTTCAAGTAGCTGGGAACAGGGGTTTCAGTGAGTGCAGACAGCATTGGTGCAGGTGTAGAGGCTGATTGTGCTGCGTGAGATGGTGCAAAGCCGATGTTGTTGGAGGAGCTGCAAGGAAAAGCACAGGGAGGAAATTAAAAACTGAATGTACATATGTATTTGATTGTCTTGACTACATTAAATGACTAATCATTATTTATTCTTTTATTCTATTTATTCTGTTATTTGTTCTAGTAATGCACATTCTGATAATGTTCAAATGCTTGTAAGTAAATAGTCAATTTTTTCACAACAAATAACAGTTTAGCATGCATACAATTCATGAAGTGCACCCACCTTCACCACTGGTATATTCAAACCTTAACAGTAGTTAGAACAAAAGAACATGGAGGATAAGTATGTAATTGAATAAGCCTCAAAAATGGATGTGTAAAGTAACCTGTTGTAAATAAGACTGTGGATCCTGTGGCTGCAGATGAGCCTAAAAAATACGCATTATAATTTGAATGGTTTCTCTCCAGTATGTTCAATTTTTATTCCAATTTTATAAGAATTTGACATGGGTATATATAACACACATGACAAGATACTTGATTTACTTACTCAGCTGTGTGAGATATTTTGTTGGAGAAAAACTTTCCAGTTCTTCTTCCTCCTCCATTACTATAAAATAAATAAAATAAAAAAATATAAAAATATATATGCAGAAATGTATGCATGTATATATAAAAAGTTAACAAGTTTAACTAATTAAAAATGTTAAATTGTACTATTAAATTGCACACATATATCTATTTGTTCATAATTTAAATGTAATATGTGTGTGTGATATTAATTACAATATAGGAGGACCAAACCTGCAGAAATTAAACATTAATAAGTAAAAAAAAAGATACATTTGATAATAGGAAAATAAATAAAGGAATAAATGACTTGATAAAATAAATATGATTTATTCTTAATCAAAATCATTTTTGTATTTTTTTCCCTTCCCTTTCTGCTTTTATTTATGTGTTAATTAATATTTATATTTGGTAAGCAAGACCAACCAACCTAATTATCATGCACATCAATAAATGAAATACTGTAAAAATAGATATAAAACTAAAGAAAGAATATCTGGAAATAAAAACAAATTGGAATAAATAAATATATATATTAATATAATATATTAATAATATATATATTATATAAAATAAATATATAATTAAATGAATGCATAAATAAATATAAGAATAAACTGAACAAAGAAATAAAATAATAAATAAATACAATTAAAACGAATACAAATACATTAAAATATAAAAGCAAAAAATGATATATTTGGGGGAAATTATACAAAAATATATTTGATTAAAATGTTATCATAATTATTTTATCAAGTCGTTTATTCCTTTATGTATTTTCCTATTATCACATTTAATTTTATTTATTTATTTATTTATTCATTCATTCATTTATTTATTTATTCATTCATTCATTTTTAACTGCAGGTTTGGTCCTCCATACTACTGCACATTACATCTTTCTGCAATGTTAACTTATATTTTAAACATAGTTAGAGATTATGATGAAACATTCACCTTTACAAACAAAGATACTCTTATAAAATAGCTGTTTCTTATCGTCACAATCCATTCAACACGATAACAATACGATTACATGACAATACATGCAATTTAAATGATAAAATATTTGAATAATAAAGTATATGCACTCACCTGAGTTAAAGTCTGTCTGCAGGTAGTTTAGACAAAACGAAACAAGTTTGCTGACAAGTCGGTAAACAAATATCTCTCCGGTAATAAAACGGGTTGACAGATGACGCTTCGCTTTTTAAATTCCCCGCCACGGAAAAGCGAAACAGCGCCGGGAAGTCTACGTGTGGCCAAAAGTAGATTGCATCCGTAGTGTTAAGCACTACCATAGAGAATGAATGGGAAAAGTTAAGGGAAGTTAAGCTTAACCATTAGCGCCTGAGCCGGAGACCCGGGTTCGAGGCCTGCTTGGAGCGGGTTGAGTGGGACCCGGGTGAAGGGGGTTACACTGGCCCGAGCCTGGTTTCCCAAGTCAAATATATGAAATGCAAAACTACATAAAACTACTCTGCATTTTGCCAAATGTAGTATCAGCTTGCTAAAATAAGTAGGCTATATACATGTTTTAAAGGTTTTTGTAACTTATTGGTTACCAAAAAAATACTAAAATGTATTAAAGACTAAACCTTCACTTTCAGCAGATGAACTGAGAATGATTCTTCTAGTAACACTGAACAGTAACAGCAGTGGTTGTGACATGACGTTACGGTCTGACACGTTTTATTTTATATAAACATGAATTCAACATTTAACAAATATCAACACACCTCGAAATGTATAAAATATATAATCTATTTCACTTTACTGTAAAAATATCATTATTTTAATCCTTCCAAGAGGGCGCGCCTCAAATAAAAATGACACCAAGTAAATTTCCCCATAAAAATTGAATTTATTTAAACATTTTGACAAGATAAAAAAAAAATTGATAAGAACAAATGCATAAAACGAGAAATTGGATGAACCCTCAGGCTCACGGATATCCTAAAAGGGGTACAGAATGACAGAAAAAAAGAAATTAAGAGGGTACACTGAATGACACATGGTTAGTCAGTTAAAGATGGATCTCAAAAGTAAATGTAAAACAACCTTTGAAACATACCTTATGTCACAGTCCTCCGTCTGCACCAGTCTGTCTTGTCTTCAGCACTACACTTCCCATGATCCTCTCGTTTGCACACCTGAACTCACTCCCTCATCAGCCTCCCGTTCAGCGTCCTGTTTCACCTGTTTCACCTGTTTGCACCTCATTATGTTTGATTCCCCTGTGTATTTAGTTCCTCCTCATTCAGTCTGTCATTGTCGGTCGATGTTAATGTTTGGAAGTGTTTTGTGGATTCTCGCCCCGTCTGTACCAGTTCCTTTGAGTTTCAATTATAAAATTTTTGTATTGGAGCCTTCTCTCTTGGATTCAGTCTTCTACCCGCACTACACCGTGACAGATCGACCGACCATCAAAAGGAAAAGATGGACCCTTTCGTAGGTTTCTGTAGGATCATCTGGCAGATTTTCTCCACCTCGCTTCTGCCACAACCTTCCCGGACGACAGCCTCAGCAGCTTCCTGTATGCCGGCCTCAACACCGCCACCAGAGAGCAGTTGTCCGGGAGGGGTCCCCAGGGGAGCTTTGCCGCGTATGTTGAGTGGGTGCTGGTGTCCTGTAGGTCACCTCTCACCATCGAGGACAGCACCAGCCCCACTCCAACGCCAGAGCCCTCTTCATCGCTGGTTCCGCCCAGCCCCGTCCAGCCAGAGACCGTCCAGCCTGCGCCAGAGACCGTCCAGCCTGCGCCAGAGACCGTCCAGCCTGCGCCAGAGACCGTCCAGCCTGCGCCAGAGACCGTCCAGCCTGCGCCAGAGACCGTCCAGCCTGCGCCAGAGACCGTCCAGCCAGCGCCAGAGACCGTCCAGCCAGCGCCAGAGACCGTCCAGCCTGCCCCAGAGACCGTCCAGCCTGCCCCAGAGACCGTCCAGCCTGCCCCAGAGACCGTCCATCCAGCGCCAGAGACCGTCCATCCAGCGCCAGAGATCGTCCAGTCTGCCCCAGAGACCAGGATCCCACCCAGCCTCCCTCTCCCACCTCCTCCCGTCATGCATCCGTCAGCCCCTCCGTCTGCCAGCTCCCCTGACCCAGCCTGGTCGTTGGATCCCCGGCCTTCGCCTCACACCTCCTCCATCTGGACACTTCCTCGGCCCCCTGTCCCATCTGCTCCCCCGTGGCTCTTACCTCCCTCAGCTCCTCCATGGCCCATCAGTCCACCAGCTCGGCCAGGCTCCCTCGTCCCTCCAGATTCCCTTCGCTCCCTCATCATCCTCCCTTCACCTTTGGACTTCCTTCCTCTGGCTCCGCCCCGTCATGTCACCCCCCCGGTTCTGTCGGACTCCTCACTCCCTCCAGTCACCCGTCAGCCCTCACTCGCTCTGGCCTCACCGTGTCCCTCTGTGCCCCTGTCGTCACTTCTGTCACCTGAGCCTACGGTGTCACCATGGTCCCTCGGTCCCTCTTCAGCACCCGATGTCGTCTGTCCCTCTGCTTCACCCTGGTCTCTTCTCCCATCTGCTCCGCCCCTGTCAGTCGGCCCCCTGGTGTTGTCAGCCCCGCTTCCATCGGCTCCTCCCTCCATCTGCTCCGCCCTGGTCTCGCCCTCCATCTACTCCGCCCTGGTCTCGCCCTCAGCCTGCTCCGCCCTGGCCACGCCCTCAGCCTGCTCCGCCCTGGCCACGCCCTCAGCCTGCTCCGCCCTGGCCACGCCCTCAACCTGCTCCGCCCTGGCCACGACCCGCTCAGCCCTCAGATCGTCCCCCCTCCTTCCTCTGTTCTGCGGCGTGAGGTCACGCCTCCCGGGAGGGGGGAGTTCTGTCACAGTCCTCCGTCTGTACCAGTCTGTCTTGTCTTCAGCACTACACTTCCCATGATCCTCTCGTCTGCACACCTGAACTCACTCCCTCATCAGCCTCCCGTTCAGCGTCCTGTTTCACCTGTTTGCACCTCATTATGTTTGATTCCCCTGTGTATTTAGTTCCTCCTCATTCAGTCTGTCATTGTCGGTCGATGTTAATGTTTGGAAGTGTTTTGTGGATTCTCTCCCCGTCTGTACCAGTTCCTTTGAGTTTCAATTATTAAATGTTTGTATTGGAGCCTTCTCTCTTGGATTCAGTCTTCTACCCGCACTACACCGTGACACCTTAAGAGGAATTTTTTTTGTTTTAGTGTCCGCTTTCTCCTTCCCCCATCCCTATCAGATGCCAGCTGTAGCCATCTTTTGATGAATTTTTCTGCTTCTCCATCCAGAGCACTGGCAGTATTCCGATTCTGTCGGATAGATTCTTTAAAAAGAAAAACTATTAGAATTTAGGTATGCGAGTTGATATGTGGCATACGTTTGCCCGTTTTAAATTAAAACTGGTTTTCCTAACTTATTAAGACCATGCAAGATGGAAAATAAATCTAGCACTTTATAGATTCAAAATGTAATATGGAAAAATGTCCATAAAAATCATAATAATTCTGACATGAAAACTCAGAATGAAGTTTACTACAAATTTGATCACAGCCTCACTATCAATCTTTTCATCACTATAAAGTGTCAATGTTTTTCCTATAATGCTGTAAATTAATTAGCACTATAAAACACAAATACAACTTACTGAGGACAACATCTTTGATGGCAAGTTGTTCAAATGCATATTTTCCATTTAACCCACGCCAATCAATTTGTTTTGCAAGCTGGTTTGTCATTAGTTTTGACATGATTCTCCACACACTCTCTTTCACAGACAGTCCACCTGCCAGTCCAAAATAGGTGACCTGAAAGACAATATTGACAAATGGAAGTCTGGGTCATTGCACATAGGTGAAAACATATGAAACATAGTGGAAAGTAGTGAGGGAATAAATGAAATATTGTTGATTATAACGGACAGAGAACGAGTACCGGTAATAGTATTAGTGATATATAGACGATGTCAGTAGGACAGTGTCCTGGTATTTTTTGCACTCCCAGCCGAGGTTTGTCTAAATAAAATATAATGATAATATTATTGTGTTTTTAGATTATTGCGTTTTGCAGCTTTGATACGTTTGCTTTCTTAATTTTTACTGCCTTTTGCAATGTAATGTCTTCTCTGTAGAAAGAACAATTGAAGAGCACTTTTCCAAAAAGCNGGTGGTCTCCGGACAGTATGATTCAGTCACCCGTAGAAGGTGAACGGCGGTTTCTTACAAAAGTCTTCCCATGAGACTGGACCATATAACTGTTGGTTGAATAGCATTTCCTGAAACTGTGGCCAGCTTGTCAAACCCACGCGTCGTTTCCATGCGTACCGTCTGCCCGGGCTCCAGCGGCGAAAGACGTCTGGCAGATTTATCATGGCTGATCTTCCTTTTTTTCTGAGTGCAAACAAAGCAGCCTGGACATTAGTCTGAACTTTCGGTGTGAGCTGGGATGGTACCATGGGAATCAAGGACCTGGTGCGTCGGGACAGTAGACGTTGTGCCGGAGAAGGCATGCCGTCTCTGGGTGTGTTGCGCAACTTGAGCAAAGCTGCATGGATGTCAGAACCGTCACGCGCACACTTTTCTAGAAGATGCTTTGCAGACCTGACAGCACGTTCCGCCAGACCATTTGACCTAGGGTAATTGGGACTGCTCGTGACATGTGAAAGTCCCACTGGTGAGAAAAGCTCTTGAAATCCCTGCTTGAAAATGATGTTGCATTGTCAGTCATCAACTGGTAAGGGATCCCATGAACAGCGAATTGCCGTTTCAATAATCTGATCACAGCATTACTGGAAAGGTTCGGAAGGACCTCATACTCCCACCAACCAGAGTACGAATCCACTAAGACCAGGTAAGTCTTCCCTGACCACTCGAATATGTCAGCTGCCGTGATGGACCATGGACTGTCTGGTATCTGGTGAAGTTGCAGAGGTTCTCTCATCTGATGCTGCTTTAGAGCATTGCATGGGGCACATCTGGAGACCTCCCTTTCAATATCACTGTATATTGTGGGCCAGAACATGGTTTCGCGTGCCCGTCGCTTAGTGGACTGAATGCCAGGATGACCTTGGTGGAGCTGTGTGAGGTAGTGTTTCTGGAGCGAGTGGGGGATTACATACCTCTGACCACGAAGAATCAAGCCATCATCCACAGTCAATTCATCTCTCATGGCATAGAACGGACGGATGTCATGTGGAACGTCCTTGTACGAGTCAGGCCAGCCAGTGAAAATCGTGTCTGCGAGTCGCTTGCAGACAGCATCAGTCTGTGTGTTTTGCCTGAGTTCCTCAATCCTTCTAGATGACAGCACCCCTTCTAGAGCTAGCACATCATAGTCCTCGATGGTTTCAGGGCTATCAGTGGTGT